TATACACAATCGTAATTTAATACACCAATGAAACTTAAAGAGAATAAATTAACGGACCTATTTTCTCAAAAGAGAATAAATTATCTGACCTAATTTCCAACAATATTGTGGCGCGAAATGCAAATGTGATATCACACGGATATGCCAGAGATAAACGATATCACACACATATGAGTTTGATAAACGATTTTCTGGAAAATATCACACGAATTTCAATGATATCAGAAATATCAAGAGCTGTTATTGTACAGATAACACATTAATCGTGGGATAAAAAGTGATATTCGATGGTTTGAAAAGTGATATTCTTTTTACATTTTTTAATTATTTTCAAAAATATTTAAAAAAAGATTTCAAAGTTGATAAACAATTTCCGAAACCATATTTTTAGATGTATTTATACATGTAGATTTCAAATATGACATCACTTTGACTGAATTTTGAATATTTGATGCCGTAAATCAAGATAATTTCTACTCGCATCTAGTCTATTCCACAGGTTTGGGACAAGTGTACAGGAAAATCTCCATGTTCAATTGATGTATGATCAATATACGAATCGAATGTATTCTCGTGTGCATTACAATATCCACATTGAAACATTTTTGGCCTGCAATGGACGTATAATGAATAGTATAGTTTCTAAATAGCTAAATAAAGCTGAATAAAGCTGACATAATAGATGTCACGTTTGTTCATCTTGGGCCAGCCTTCCTTTGAGTGCTATGCTAAAAGCTTGCAATAGTCACTTAATTTCATGATTTATCAAAGAGTGTTAGTCAAATCTGTCTGAAACCTGAATGATATACTATTAAATGACCCTGTCAATGAACATATTGTGATTAAACATGAAAATGTTGCTTGTCATACGATTAAACCATGGTTTTAAAGAATTTTAGCATAACATCAATGGAGATTTAGCCCAAGTTTTTTTAAAATGTCATGGAGAATGATTTAAATGACATATATGTGTAAATCAAAGCTATTATTGTAGGAAATATACCACTGAATTCAAATATGCTATTCAAAAGAGAGAAAAGTAAGTCATTAGAGGTAAAACGTGCAAATCTCTTAAAATCTCATGAAAAAACGAGAATTAGCGAGATTTCAAAATCATTTAGAAACTCCTCTATTAGAATATGAGGCCGTGTTATCATTCAAATGTAAAGTCACGGTATTGGGTTGCAAGTTAATATCAGATTCAATGCAAATTAATCATTTAATATCAGATGCGCGATCAGTCCAATAATGTAATTTCAGGTCATCAGTTCGATATCTAGCAGTTGTTCTAACGACACGGTATTACTAGTCTATCATATTATAAATACACACACATATAAATTAATCAAACTGGTACACGATAAGCACGACTGCTCTTTCAATTGAGTATAAATGTTGATAAACTTACCCGGAAGCCAACACATACACGTTTAGACGATGCTATTTTCAGTTCAGTGTAAGAGTAAATGCCCGGATATAGAGGCTTTTCGTGTAAAGTTTTAACCAAGCATTTAGAATCGGGTTATATTGCGTGTAGAATTTATCGATATCAGGGCCGCTACATGCCAGTGTATATTGTAGTCTTATCCAATGTTATCAAAGTGTGATATGTGAAACTTTTTTTTTAAATTTCAAAAAGTGATTTTTGATAGACTTTTTGTTCCAAAATTTGTGAATTTATTTAAAACCAACTTTTAGAGGTCACTCATATCTTCTAATTAGCCACAATTCATACCAATGCATAGCATACATCCTCCCATGTTTTTTGCCGAAAAAATTAAGAAAATCGGTTCATAAACAAGCGAGAAATGAACTGCACTGAATCAGTGCATGAAAATGGTTCTGAGAAAAATGCATTTCAAAATTTTAGTTCTCATAGAAACCAATGGTACAATGATATCTAAAACATAATCTATTCTTCCTTTTAACCTGGTTAGACAATCAACATTGGTTTTTTAATGAAAGTCTAGCATTTTTAGAAAAGATTGACATCGAAAAAAAATTTTCAAAAAGTTTTTGTTACCTTAGTGACATCACTAATGTTTCAAAATATTTTTGATAAGCTAAAACATTGAAGTGGCCCATTAAATATGACATTTTATTATTGAAATAGTGTGTCTTTTGTTCAATCTTTGCATTGGTGTTAAAAAGATAATCTTTTTTGAAATGCATTAAGAAATATTTGATGATTAAGAAATTTCAACTTTTTTTGAAAAATGGCGGGAAATTTGAATATTTGAGAAATGAAATGCTCATAACTTTTTTTTCAAAAAATTTTTTTTGTTCAAAAATCTCTAAAATCACTTTTTAAGTCCTGACAAATAGTAAATGAATGATAAAAAAATATTTTCAAACTTTAGACGGGGACTTTAAAGGCATTTAAGGTTTTAAAAGTTGTCAGAGGTTTTGGCCCTTGAACATGAGTACTGGTCCTTATGACTAGTAGAAATTCAAATCATATATTGTAAGTCTCTGTTCAGTAAGTTTCATCAATGTTTCCAATTGTATCAGTAGAGCATTAAATAAATTGTTCTGTTATAAATATTAATCTTGAGTGATGTTAAATGTTGTTTATTATATTTATTTATATATTTATCCCATCGAACGAAGTTTGGAGGGATATAGGGAACGCCTCCATCCATCTGTCTGTCCGTCTGGGAAATAACTCAAATACTGTTGGCCCGATTTTGTTCATATTTTGTATACATATACCCTTTTGGAGTAGAAGTTCTGCTCGAAAGGCGATTTTCAAAATGGCCGCTCATTTAGCAATGGTGGCCATTTTAGTGCCGATTTTACAGTAATTTAGGTGCAATATGTAAAACTGTAATAGCAATATGTTTGAAATGTAAAAAATTATATAGGACATTAATAAAGCTAGAAATGTAGAAGCACATGGCAGCCATCTTGAAAAATGGCGGCCTTTGGTCATTATTTTATGATTTTTGCTGTAACTCGAAAAGTAGTGGAGCGATTTTGTTCATATTTGGTATTAAATGTGAATGTGAATACTTTAAGCATGGCACACTGACTAATGACACTTTTGGTAGAAGGGTATTTTGAAAAATGGCTGCCATTTTTGCTATATACTTTGTTTGTAAAAATGCCAGCCATGGCTGTTCGATGGGATTTGCTGTACGCTTTGGCGTTGCTGTTGTCTAGTTTATATCTAACATTAACTTGAGAATCTAAATAAATAAACAAATAAATATATATTTTGAAAAATGATTTTTTAAGTTATAAGGAGCGTTTGACAAAAATTGAAAAATAATGTGGCAGTTGCTATTTGTTTTATGATATACTCTTTGACTTGTAGTCTGTAAAGAAAAGCAAGATTTAATTCTGACCTTTTTATTGGCATTTAAAGAAATTGAATGAGATCCAAGATGGCCACCACTAGATTAAGTAGAGGATAGAAAATACCAATGATTTTTGGTTCAGATTTCTTAAGATGTAGATCAGATGTAGTAATGAGCCCTTGTCTTATGCATCCTCCGATCACAGGGCTTCAAAATCCAGAATATATTCTTTCTTTTTACCCCCTGCGATAAGCAGTTAGCCTTTCCCCAATTAAGAACTCGCAATCTGATTGGCTGTCGCAACACTGCGACAGAAATCATGTATAAGTCATTGCGCATAATAAGATCACATGATTCAGTTTAATCGGGCGCTTCCAAATTGGTAATAGCAGGGGGAAGAAGGAGGTACGGATTCTGGATACCTGTTTAGGAGGATGTGTCTTATGTGAACTGGTCTGTATCAAGCAAATGTGCAGCCGTCACCTTCGCAGCTATGATGGCAGATGGTAATTGTCGATTTTGATATTGTTAAAGTTTTTATTAAATTAAACTACTTAATATGTCAATACGTTATGTTTTGAAATTTAAACCAAATCAGTCTTTTGTGACATGATAACTATGGCTCAGTATGATCATTTGTTCATATATAGTGCATGGGCACCACACTTCAGTGATATCTTCCACCGCTTAGGGGAAGGTAAATGGAAATGTATGACACAGTAACAGTCATGTTAGTTTTCAATATGCGGTAACTGATTGGACATCTTCGCTCTCCATTATAAACTCTCATAATGTTACCCCATCACCGCATATCAGTTATCTTATCATCTGTAAAACCTAAATCCCCTTGCCTCAAGCGGTAGATAATATCATTGAACTGTGGTGCCTACGCATGGTATATGAACAAATTATCATTCTCCAGAGTAATAGCATGTCATATAAGCCTGATATACGAGTAGTCCAAATATCAAAGCATTACATCAACTATAAAGTGGTTTAATTCAATGGAAACAAAAAATATTGAAATTAACGCTAAACCTCAGCCATCTTAGATACGAAAGGTTACGGCCATTACCTTCGCTTGATACTGACCAGTGTTTGTCGATTCACAATGTTTCATCTCTGCTCTTCTAACTTCAACATGATATTTCTAGTACAGCTTGTTTTTCAAAAAGGACTTAACCCTTTATACCATATTATTATCTGACACTTCAGTCATTTTTCAGTGGTATTTCTTGGGATAAAGTAAATTTGTAAGTTTCTTGGTTAATATTTCTTTTATTGACAATAGTGTCGACACATGGAACATCAGTCGTTATACAAACTAATTACTTTGGTATATCTTTACATTCTAAGCAAATCAGTTTTCTTGAAACTCTGATCTGGGAATTTTGCCCACCATCTCCAGTTAGTATCATTCTGCTATGGACCAGTGAGGTGAGGGCCTCTAATAGTTGGATGACACAAAAAGTAGTTTTCATATAAGAATATGCGATCACTTGCCTGAAATAGGGCCACCATCTTCATATTGTATAAGTTATTAAGAGAACTACTATTTATGACTTGTATGTTGATTCTCATTGAATTCTTTGCCATCTATTGACAGCTCTCCAAACCATAAATGCACTTGCAAAATGTATACTAATTGTGCTGACATCTATTTATAAATATGTGGATAAAGAATGTATGTTTCTGTTCCAGTAAACATGTCCTGTCAGAAGATGTTGTTGACCGAAAAGTAGCTGACAATAAGCTCTACACAAAACGTCTTTTGACTAAAACAAACCATATGCCAAAATGGGGTGAAAAAATTGTGCCGGGACCAAAGTATGTTGCCCTCGTTGAAGAGTCTGTAGTAGACCCAAAAGCCAAAACATTGACTACATATACCAGAAATGTGGGCTATACTCGCCTTATGGTAAGTAGAGTAAATTAAAACTGTCAAGTGAGAACCTCTCTAAGTGGACACCTTGGAAGTCTGTCAATTTATAAAAATCCTTTGATACTTTGTAATGAACTTCTGTAGGTTTGCTCCACTGTGCCAGAAAATCTCCACTCCAGTGGGCTATGAAAAAAATGATTATATATTCGCGATTGGACTTAGTTGAGCTACTTCCTGTTTGAGATATCAAGCAGCAGCGGAATTCATCAGTTTAATCAAGTCTTTGAAGTGGCTGTATACTTTTTATTGTCTGAATCATATTGAACCCTATAGATTGTAAAAGTTCACCCCTAGTCCCCTTAAACTTACCGAATAGTGAAAACAAACTTCCTACTCCATCAATCCAGAAAGTTCCAGCATGCACCGTGATAAATACTATACCCGAAAGAAACCTTGGCATAAAAATAACAAACTCTGAATAAAAACCAAGTGTGTTTGTTTCCTGCACATGGCATTAAATAGAAAAGAAGTTGTATTTCATACAGATAAGCAGAACATTACAACTATAAGCATGAAAATAGTGAGTACGAGTGACCAATTTTGAGTCATGGTAAAGGGAAACGAGTGAAAGCATTTTTTGATGAAAATTTCAAATTGTGAGTTGAAGTTTTCCACTCGAACAATTGATTTTTAGCACAAATGCAAGTAAAACTTGAGTGTACAAGTCAGTCTTCCTACCACTATCCATTCGTATATTGACAAGACATACCTGTCATGTCTGGAAGAATATTGATTGGTATTTATTAGTTCGAATTTGAAAACTGTTTGACATCCAGATGGATACATGCTATTTAAAAAAAGTGAATCTCTCATCCAGTCAGATTGCAGCATAGCAACTCTCTTATTCTCAACAGATGAACGACCATTCTTTATGTAATGCATCTGGGAATCTGCATTGTGTTGCGATGTCACAAGTTGATTCTTTCAAGGCTTATATCCCTATTTTTTTTTATAAGCAATGTGTTCTTACATCGTGTTTGAATTAGAATAGATGATAGACCATTCAAGCTGTCTAACTCGTGCGGAACTTCATCATGTATAATGGCCCACATTATCTACTCCTTAAATGGTTATTACATTAATTTGTAAATGGCAACATCATCATCAGGTATATTGTATTTGAAAATATCTATAACGGCAGAATATTGAGACATTAACATAAAAGTTCAGACACAATGCTTTCAAGTATATATAAATGTTTTATTAATCATAATAAAACATGATAATTGTATGCATCCTGACTGATCAAACATAACTTTTCTGGTTATGGGCATATAATGTTTGATTCATATGTCGCTATGCATCATCAATTAGTCTATATTGACTATCTCTATGTTGACAGTTTCTCCAGTTATTACAGTAAGTTTCTGATTAGTTTCACTTGGATTCTCAAGCTCACATGTTCCTTTGCCAATAGGGGGTGGATTTGTACAGACCCTCACTCTGGATTTCTTGCCATTCTCCACAGGGGTGTATTCACTCCAGTCTCCCCAATTGCCATTCATTGATATGGCTTCCTCTATCCATTTTAAGTAATTGGTCACCTTGGTATACACACCTGTATTATTAGAAAGTACATGTAGGAACTAATGTATTGGTGGCTGATATGTATTCTTTTGGGATGTCTATAATAAGGTATTGTTATTTCAATATTGCCCAGAACTATAGACATATTACATTGACTTTCTCCTCAAATCATCAATTCTGATATAATACTAGTAGACCAATCTTTTAATAATTTGAAGTACCAGTATGCTGAAACAATGGATTGATCTATTGGCCTTGATCATAAAACGAGAGGAATTTCAAATTGGACTTATACTCTGAAATTTATTACCAGATTTTTCCCCACAGGATCTTTCGGGGCCCCAGCTCACTATTCCATATTGTCTCCACGTCTCTGTTCTTCCATCTCTGCAGGAGAGAGGTCCTCCTGAATCTCCATAACACGAGTCCCTGATATAAAAAATTAGTGAGACTTAAAAAGGCTCAAGACGACTTACTCTGATCCCGATCATAACAATCTGTAAATTGCACCGTCAATAGAAAGACCTTTCTCAAGATAAGTTTAAAATATACTAGTAGTAGATTTTATAAAATGCACTCATGATGACCTCATAGATTTTGGAACTAATATGCTAACTTTAAACTTTGTACTTACTTCTTAGGTAATTTAGCACAAATCATATTTCCACTCCTCCTCACATCCGCGCTATCAGATGCATCTAAATCACATGTTTCCTGTGTCATCTGTACATTAACTTCTAACAATATATCAGAATTACTATGTTCATCTGAATAATTTGTTCTGCCCCAGCCTATCACGGTACATTCCATATTCTTAAGGTCAATGTTCCGAATCTTTTCGCCAGTCGGAAGCTCATTTGGTTTAGTGTGGTTGTTATATTCCAGTGGCTCTTCAAGTGTCAGTATTGCAATATCGTTATTATACTTTATATCAAGATTGTAATCTTCATGCACAAGGACTTTGGTTGCAATTCTCATTTGTTGAAGTGGTTCATCATTAGAACGGTTATGCTTTCCAGCCAGAACTCTAACAGGATCACGTTGATAGTCAAAACAATGGGCAGCAGTTAATATGTGCCAAGGACTCAGTATAGTTCCCCCACATTTTAGATCTGGTAAATACACCATCCAAGGATAGTTATGTTTGGGTTTCACTTCATTTCCACCAATTATAATTCCAGTTGCTTCTGATTTACGCTTTCCTGCTTCAGGACACTCCTGTTGTTCACAAATATTGATTTCTATTGCGTGGTTCATATTGCATGGGTTGCCATTCTGGTCTAGTGCCCCTTGACATTGCCTAACTCTTGCCTGCTTTGTACAACCTCCAGCACATGGCGATTTACCACTAGCTGTTCCTACAAGGTTATTAACTATGTTCAAGTGATTCATTTATTTTGAAACATTGGTACATTATTTCCTCCGTTCTACATAATATGACTTCTTTGCATTATTTATTTGAGTATTGGATTTTCTATACTATGGATCATCAAAAGAATGCAGGATATTTAATACACTTCATTTAGTGTACTTGTTAATATATTTATTTAGTATGTGAAATTGTTTTTCTAATAACAACATTGTTACATATACATTATTACATGAATACCTTTTTCTACACGATCACAAGGTCCAGCACAATTTTCCACCTTCCTTGATATGCAGGTACACTTGTTACAGCCTTCCCAGTATGTGTCTCCCCGAACTCGTCTTTGCTTGCACTTTCGGCATCCTGAATACAAATAGCACTGACTTAACATTAACATGATGCAGGTTTGTGAAAATGACCAGCTGGTAGTATGTATCTAAACTTATGATCTATAATTTTTAAAAAGTTCTAGGATTAATCTGTGGACTTACTTTTCATATCAGTGCAGTCTAGGTTGCCATCTACTGTGCATTTACATTTGTTACATCCATCATATGTACTTTTCCAAGATCCATGTTTTAGTCTACGCTCCTTGCCACTCTCATCTATGCAGCTCACTTCCTTGCAACAAATGCTGAATAGGCTATCTTGGGGTATAAAGCAAGTATATCCAGCAGGACATGTTATGCTTCCCCCGCCTTGACATTTATGTGGTTCATGATCAATTTTCATCAACGGGGCACAATCTGGAACCCCTTTCATCTCGCAACAGGCCCAGTTATCTTTCCTTGTGCAAATATATGTGTTTGGACACCTTCGGTCATCTCTACCACATTTAATTGTGGGGTGTTTCTTCATACCATTTGTACACATTTTATCTTTTGCTGTGGTGCTACCTAAAAGTGAGTAAAGAAGGCTTAGTTGCAGTATGCGCCAACAAATCATTCTGCCTTGTGTTGGTTTGAAAACGGAAAATGATCAGAGGCCATTCACAATTTTAATGCTTAGTAAATGGGATAATAAAATATGTTATTATTGCGGTAGACTAGATAATGTATCCATTAATTAAATTATTTCAATAATCAAATGTCAGAAGTATAAGCCTATAATATGTGGCTTTTAACAAAAAGGTGTGAATTGTAACATGACTTGTTAGTATGGGCTAATGATTCAGTAAATGTGATATTTTATAACTTTCCAAGCTGTCTAAAAGTTGTGACTATTTCTCAGTATACTGTTTTACGGATAAGGTATCAATAATGTTACATTTGGTTTATTCTCAGTAAATTGATACAGAAATCTTGGTGGACCTTGTGGGATTTATCATTACGCCATCAAAAAGAGACAGCTTACCACACACTTGTGACACAGATAATCTTGTTTTTTATTGACCATTCAAAATGCTTGAAGCATTATGATCATGCAAAATTGTTTTTCCATCAATCACATATAGTGTTAATATGTCACCACCACAATGGGTGACATATTGTTATAGACTCCAACCTTTTAGTGGATGGTGTTCAGCGGTCAGAATTTGGCATCTGTAACAAATGCCAGGTGGTGACATTTTGCATGTTAATGCCTTGTTAATTATTGTTCTTATGTGTTTCAGTCAGTGGTGGAGAAATGCATCTTCAAAGTGGATGAGAAAAATTCCAAGTGGAGTCAAGTGGAACGTTACGCTTGGATCGACTCTAATGTAATTGGAGTTGGTGGTGCTATCAAACATTTTGGAATGGAACGTTTCAAACATAATGTAAACAAAGCTTGCAAAGGCTTTGAGTATGTTCTCGACAACTTATATCCTGGTTTGAACCAGGTCGCTCAAGACACTGGTACAATGGCTGCTAGGAAAGAAAAATTAGCAGAAACTGCCAAAAAAGCAAAAGAAATTGCCAAAGCGAAAGCATCAAGACCAATCACAGCAAACTGCAGTGGACAAGCGGCATCATCATAAAACGTTGGAAATAACAATTTTCCAAGAGAATGACATCTATAAAAGTTTATTTAAATTCTACAAGACATAAAAAATAAAAACAATCAAAGGAATTAATTCCATTTAATGTGCCATAAGTGTCTAATGGAAATATATATGCACATTGTAATAACATCAACATTTTCTTGCTCAAATTCAAGAGATGCTATTCATACATAATATCACTGTTCATGCTTTATACTGATTTGATAGTTATTATTACATTCTGTTTAAAGATGGCAGCAAAAAACATTATTGTTATTCCAAGTTCTGTGGCATATCCAACTTATGACAGCTAGCTATATCAATAATTAAATGTACTTTGTGTGCTCCCGTGCAAGATATGAATGTAAATACATTAAATTGGTCAAATTCATTACTTCAAAACCCTTTTCTGATATATTTTTTTATTCAACTTATCTCATGAAACTGGCAATGTGTGTATAAGTGCTTTAGTCTATGAGAGGTTTTGCAAGCTTATTTATACCTCATGTATATGTTCTTATAAAATCAATTTCAAATATCATTAAAATATAAGTACATGTATCGCTTTCAATCCTTATTTTCACAACTTATCACTCTTACGGTTGATAACACGAATCAAAGTTTTGGAAAAATAGATTTTGATTATACAGCGTGACATAAAAATGCCATCCACCCACATAATGTTGCCTAACTTTTTCTCTGCACAGATTCTGACTTGTTTTTTGACACATCAAAACTAGGCTCCCTGATGAACCTCCACAAGAAGTTGCAGATGAGTGGCCCAACTAGAGGCACATTTATGAGTGTTACAAGATGTGTTGTTGATTCCTTTGCAGGCACACTTTGATTTTACACAAAAAATGACACCCACCTTTTGTAACATAATTTTGGAAATAAGTTACAATAATTTTATCAATGACAACTATATCATTTTGTGTTTCATTGAATTGACTTCCTTTCCCTGAAATTATAAGCAAAAATCATTATTATTCTCAGTTATGTTACAGAAGGTAGGTGGCATTTTTTGTGTAGAATCCAAATGTGCCTGCAAAGGAATGGACGACATTTAGAGCAAATCTTGTAACGCTCATAAAACTTCATATGGAGCTGCTCCGTAGAATCTAGTTTTGATGTGTGAAAGAACAATTCAGGTATCATGCAGACAAAAAAAGGTTATCCAACATAAGTGTGTGTCATCTTTTTTGTACCACCCTGTATGTTTAGATAATCTTTACAAGTATAAATAATATACAATTAATGCTATGAGTAAGTTTGCAAGATCTCTGCAGTCTCTGCTTTTTTGTTGTTGCCATTGTGCTCATTATTAGTTCATTATTATTTCGTTGCAATTGTTGTTTTCATAAAAATAAAAATGGATTTATATTATATTGAACATTCAATAAATTAATGTTGATTATCAATATCTATATCTTGTTTTACACATGTATTTACCTTGTTCTCTAATGAACGTGCAGCTTCAATGTGCATACATACATTTTTTATGATGAATATGGTCTCAAGAAAACACTAAGTTTAATGCATTTCTTTCGATTATTTACACAAGATAGAGATGTATATATGCTTTTTTCCAATTAAATTTTCAAAAATGATGTCAGTATTTAAAGGCCCCTTGTAAAGTTTGAAAATGTAGTTTAGTTATTCAAATATTACCTTTCGTGACTTGAAGACCCATTTTGAGACATTTAAAAAAAAATATTGCTAAAATATGATGGTGTGATGTCACTCAGATGGCAAAATAGTTTTTTTAAATATGAGAAACTTTCAAAATAAAGCAATATTGTTGGCCTATTTATTAGATTATTTTTCAACCAATTTTCTTCATTTTTATGTATTGATGTAAATTGATACTCAACAATGAACGCGTATGTGCATGACAACTAAAATTTTAATTGAAACAAATTCACAATATTTTGAAGATCAAGTCTTTAAAAATCAACTTTTTGAAGTTAAATGGTAACATTCGAAAAACTAGGTTGGACCATAATACATACCAAAGTGGTTTAAACTTAATATGGGGCCTTTAATGCTAATGCTGATATTCCCTTTTAAGTATGCTTTTCAAAAAATGTCTTAAAATGTTTTGAATTCAGGAAAAATAATATTTGAATGATTAAATTATATTTTCAAACTTTGCATGGGGTCTTTAATATTGTCATAATCATGGGGACAGATAACATATACAGCTCTAGAAGTCAAGATACTGGAACATATATCATCCTTTCATCTAAAATGTCGTCATGTGCTATCATTTTTTCACCTTAGAACTCGTCGAGTGCATCCTAGATTAATCAGGACATACTATAATACCACATTATATTTCTAATCATTTTCAGTGCAGTTGAACTACGGAATAGTAAATAGCAATCTGTTTGATAAACACAACGGCATGCCAAGTGCCACATTCAATACAACGTCAGACAACATTGTGTACTGATAAAAAATCTACATAGATCTGAGTCTATGAATCTGGGACCATAGAAAAAAGAAAAATGGAAACAAAATTCTTCAATTATGTTGAGGAAGCTGAGCCAATTGAAGCCTTCCATGAGGTGGACATGTTTAATGCTTGTAAACATCCTAACAAAGTCAACCTTGTGCCTGGTGGTAAGTAACTCACTTATTCATTGCAAAGAAACCTAGTGGTGGCAAGTGAACTCATAGTATGAGAACCTGTTGTTAAGTAACTCACTTATTCACTGCAAAGAAACCTGGTGGCAAGTGAACTCATAGTATGAGAAGCTGTTGTAAAGTAACTCACTTATTCACTGCAAAGAAACCTGGTGGCAAGTGAACTCCTAGTATGAGAACCTGTTGTTAAGTAACTCACTTATTCACTGCAAAGAAACCTGGTGGCAAGTGAACTCATAGTATGAGAACCTGTTGGAAACTCACTCATTGTAGAAGAGTCATTTTTATAAAGAAACATGGTAAGCCACTCGCTCACTGTAGAACCTGTTGATGTCTCACTTCCTGTAGGAGAACCTGGTGGTAAGTAGCTGGATATATGGGAAACTGTTGGTAAGGAACTCACTCATTGTAGAAGAAACTTGGAGTAAGTAACTGACTTATTATAAAGAAAATTGGTGGCAAGCCACTCACTCACTTTAGAACCTGATGATAACTCACTTACTATAGGAGAACCTGGTGGTGAGTAACTCACTCATTGTAGAAGAATCTTGGAGTAAGAAAATCACTCATTATAAAGAAACCTGAAGCAAATTACTCCCTCACTGCTGTAAAACCTGGTGACTGATAACTCATTCACTGTAGGAAATCCTTGGAGTTAGTTACTCACTTCCTATATATAGGTGAACATAGGGGTAAATAGCTCATTTACTTCAGGGGAACTTGGTGTTATGAGACTTTGTAGGTGCACTTGGTTGTAAGAAGTTCACTCATCGTAATTGTAAAGAAAACTGGTGGCAAATCACTCACTTGGAGGACCTGGGGTGTTGAGTTACTCACTCATGGGCCACTCATAGGGGAAACTGGTGCTGACTGGTGGGGGGGGTGTATAGAGGGTCTTGGAAATGCATATACAATATTTTTCAGCTCTCTTATACCATATACAATATTTTTTCACCATATACAATATTTTTCACAGCTCTTATACCATATACGATATTTTAGGTAAAATACAATATACGATAATTTTGAAACTGCTTTTGATTAAAGTTTGGATATTTATAAGGAAATAATATTATATTAGGAGAGAATCCATGTACTAAAATGTATTGTGGGAATTTTTAATTCCCCCTGAGTAGTACTAGGGTTTGTGAAACGTTTATTTTACTGGGTTTTATGTTATTTCATCTTTATTTCATGTTCTGTCCACTGTAATTAAAGAATTGTATTGTAAAGTGTCTACGTGCAGAATCTCATCTAGGCACTTGGATGTTTACTGAATCAGCCGACGGCCTTGGAATAAATTTGCATAATTAGGCACTCAGCAACAGAGCTCAACCAATCAGATGGCTTCATTTGAATTTACCGCCAACTTAAGTTGTATTTTCCCATAATGCAACCTGAGATGTCTGGACTTTAGCGTGAGATCGTGACCTGTAAATCAGAGCTTACCAAGATTTTGTACAAGCAGGACCTCGTCAGTTTGGGGCATTTTATGTGCGAGCGTGGCTGATTACAACTGTGGATTATATTTGGATATTATTTGACTATTTGCTGCTATTGCTTGATGTAAATTGCGTGCGTTGCGACAATTGGGGAAAAGACAAGACAATAGATAGTTCTTTGGTGAGTGACAATTTGATTATTGAGTTTGACGCCATATTGCCGTCCGCCATTTTGATTTCTTCTTCCCAGAGTTCCCTGCGGTCGGCCATCTTTATTTTTTACGGAAGTGACGCCATTTTAAGGAGTGATTCCTTCTCTGAGTAGTTACAACTCTTGTCTAATCTCAGTTTGATTGATATTCGAGAGTCGCGTCTGCTCCGAGAGGTCACTGCTCCGAGTTATTACCCCTCCAACCATTTTAAGAACAATTTTTCCTCCGAGTTACATTGGCTTTGAGTAGGTACAACTCTTGTCTAATCTCAGTTTGATTGATATTCGAGAGTCGTGTCTGCTCTGAGGACTGTCAGCTCTGAGTCATTACTACTCCATTTGCCCCGAGGATCGCCAACTCCGAGTAATTATGGCTCTTGTCTAATCTCAGTTTGATTGATATTCAAGAGTCATATCTGCTCCGAGGACTCACTGCTCCGAGTCATTACTCCTCCATTGGTTCCGAGAATTGCCAGCTCCGAGTGATTACTCCTCCAATTATTTAAGTGTTATATCTCCTCTGAGTTATATTTGGTCCGAGTAGTTACAGCTCTGTCTAATCTCCGTTGTGATTGATATTCGAGAGTTGTATCTGCTTCGAGGATTGCCAGCTCCGAGCGATTACTCCTCCATCTAGTTGAGAGCCATACCTACTCTGAGGACTCACTGCTCCGAGTGCTTACTCCTCCATCTAGTTGAGAGCCATACCTACTCTGAGGACTCACTGCTCC